CATCAGATATTTGAGAAAATGTACCAAAAGTGCGAATAAGGTTAAGGTCACATCGCCCCGTACTTATGTACCAAGGAGTTCCACATTTGGCCGTTCCACGTGGTTACTAAAAAGCCTTTTCAAAGCTTATTTTTGTGACAAAAATAAGCCGTTTGCAAGAGCATTTAGATTACCTAAAATACGGAAGTTCACTTTGCAAAAGCTAAGATTATATAAGGTATATTTTAAAACATTTTTATGCTTTGGAGGTCTTGAGCCCCGGAAAAATAAGCAAGAGTATTTGGCGCACAAAATAATGTCTATGTACAGAATGTCTAAACGAATTCGGGATATTAATATACATTATGAAAAAATATGATGGATCACATAAAATGAAAAAGTATGGCATAATTTTACATTAGTATTATCAATAAAACAAAAATTATAGATCATTTTTCATAGCATTCACATAGGTATGGAACGTCATATGGAGCTCACCGAGTGGTGTGGAGACGCATTGCTCAAACTTGTCACACAGTTATTTTGAGGTAGAATTTGAGGCCCTGCAGTTCTAGTGTATTCAATGGGCTCTTCTGGATGCAACAATCCGCCAACTATTAGGCCTGAAATCGTAAGTTCACCTGAATGATACGGTTTATAATAAATTCCAAGTCTGCTGGATAAAAGTGGCCGCCAACAGACGAGATAGGTCGTCTGTGTATGAAGAACAGAGCCAGTCCCGTCATCACTTAAGGATTCTGTGTCAGAAGGTAAATTGACAGCCTGTAGAACTTGAGTCGCCCCATTGGAGTCGATTGGTGTGGTGGGAGTCCAGCTGTTTGGATGGCTGGATAAAGATAGCTGGGGAAGGCCAATAACTGGATGAGACCAATTTACAAGCAAACATTCATTTTTGTCAGAAAGACTCACGCTGGTTAAATGAGGAGGACTGGGGGCTGAGATAAGAGCAAAAATGATTGAATATATGCTGGAATCAGGTGAAGTTAAGGTTTTATTTTATTATCACAAGTATATATATATATATGAGTACTGAGGAAATATACATTTGGAATGGACTTGAAATAAATATTGATAATATAAATATATATATCAAAGCTGGTGGTAACTAGATGATGTAGTTATGATTAGAGAAGCGAAAACCAGAGATAAAATGGAATACTGACTCTATGTAGTAAGCTTGTAGATCCCTCCCCCAAAAGGCAAATTATTAGCTAAATGATAATTAAAAATGATATGAATTCCACTGGAGATCAGCACAAAAATATCGGATACATTTCAAAATTAATGCCGATCTAGGTGTGAAGGAGGAATAAGAAATTAATGATAGAAGATTTATAATAGCAGAATATAAATAATTAAGCAATTGAAAAGTAAGATTTAAATGGATCTTGGCTATCCTTTGCGTGCATGAAAAGTTATAAGTAAAACTTATAAAATAGTTAGATGTGAAAATCGGCAATAAAAATGAAAAGAAACGTCCTATAATGTCCTAACAACTCCCTGGAGCGAGAGCAATCACGCCAATTTATTTCCAGTGAAAAATTCTGGAAACGTTCATCTTGTCGCATTCATAAAAAAATTAACGCAAATAAGCACGCACTAAAACAGTCTCGCAAGTATAATGATTACAATATGAAACAATTACACATGCAGTGGTATAATATTATGCAAGGCAGAATTTCAAGAGAAGTAAAGTAAAAGGTATATTTTAAGCATATATATACATATAAATATAGCTCACGAGCAAGGTCGGTATAGACATCAAATTTTTCGGAGAATTCTCCGAATCCGACTTTGGTAGCAGAAGCAATACGAATCCAGTAACATGTATAATTTTCTAGGCCAGTAAGCAAATATGATCTGGTAGAATCAGATGGGATTTCAAAATCTTTGATCAAAAGCGAAGAATCCAGAGTTGCATTCTTATTGGATGCACAATAATATAACTGAAATAAATGGCAAAAGATGGACTCAAAGATG